CCCAGTGCTGGCATTTCCTTAACTACTGCTCCATCAAGGACAGCTCATTGTAGTGATACGGAGATGAGCCCTGCACACAGAATCCCAGCTCTGAAACTCACATGGCCTTGGACAAGTCACTTCACCCTTTTGTGAAGTTTTCTAATCTATATAAAAGGGAAAATAAAACTAGCACCTTCTATGTCAAGTTTTGTGAAGATTAAATGACTTCATATATGAAAAGTGCTTAGCATATTGCTTGGCACTCAGTAATGGATCAGTACATTTAAGCTACATTTTTAAAAAGTACTAGTAATTGACCTTCTGTTTGATGAGGAGCTCAGTGCCTGCCTGAGACAGCCGACCACATTGCTAGGAGACCCCATCATTAGCCAACCCCTCTGTGCTTTCCTGTAAGTCCTATCGCATGTTCTCATCTGTTCCATTGAGCACTTACAATCTGAGCCTCATGGATGCACTCCTGACTCTGCAACAGGAGCAAGACTAGCTCATCCTCTGTCTTTGTCCCTCTCATCTTCCTCTCAGATATAGGAGCCACATGTGAATGCTGTCTGGCCTTTGGTCCCAGAGCCATTTCCTTTCTACCAATGTCAGCTTTGAACACTGTCAGCACACTTCCTTTATGAACAGCAGCACAAATCCCCAGCAGCCAGAGCAAATGCCCTTAAAGAGTGCTTAAGTGGAATGTGGATGTGCCACAGCCCAGGGCATGTGCACTTTCTTGTATCTGGAGTCTGGGTAGACCAGCCAAGCATGTCTCCTCCTAACAACCTTAGTGTATAGAGTTTGTGATTTCAGCTCTGATGCCTCTTGGCTGAACTCATTGAATTTGTCTAAAGTGCTGTGCTCTGGCCTTTCAGATGGCCCAATGAATCAAGTATGTTTCATTGTTGGCTCATGGCCAGAACTGAATATGTTTCTGCTTAGAAACATCTTGAAATTTATTTGGGAAAGGTTTTCTAACATTCATCCAAGATCTTCACTTTCCTTTGGGTAGGCAGCTGGATTCTATCCCAGGAGCAGCATTGATTATCCCTTCTTTCTCTTAACACTCTCTCCTCTTAGCTCTAGGATACTATGCTCTCCAGGTTTTTTTTTCCTTACTTGTCTGGCCACTCCTTCTCAGTCTCCTATGCAGCTGTATCTTCCTCTACCCACTAAGTAAATACTGCAGGCTCTCAAGTCTCTGTCTAAGCCCACTTCTTCTTCCCTCTTTATTCTCTCCCTGGATGACTTCATCAACCCCCATCCATCAGATACCATCTGTGTGCACATGACTCACACATTTTTACCTCCAGTTCAGACCTCTTTTCAGAGCTCCACACCTGCATTTTATTTATTTTTGTGTGTGTGTGAGGAAGATTGGCCTTGAGCTAACATCTGTTGCCAATCTTCCTCTTTTGGCTTGAGGAAGATTGTCACTGAGCTAACATGTATGCCAATCTTCTTCTATTTTGTGTGGGATGCCACCACAGCATGGCTTGATAAGTGGTGCTAGGTCCACGCCCAGGATCCTAACCTGCGAACCCTGGGCCGCTGAAGTGGAGCACGTGAACTTAACCACTACACCACTAGGCCAGCCCCAGACCTGCATTTTTAACTGCCTACTTCTCTAGAGTATCTCTCAAGCTCAAATTGCCCCAAACACACATATCTTTCCTCTAAAGCTGTTCTTTTTCAATTGTTTCTTGAACCTCTAAACAGCACCATCATCCACCTTGTTATGAAAACCGAAGACTTGTAGTCACAAGTTATTCCTTGTATTCAATCCATCAATAGGTTTTATTTATATTTATTTCAAGTAGTTATCTCTTTTATTGCATCTTTCTGTCTCTATTGCCATCACCTAAGTCCAAGCAACTATCATCTCCCACCTGGGTGCCTGCAATGGTTTCAAAATTCATCTCTCCAATCCACTTTGGCTCCATATTGAAGCTGGAATGATCTGTTGGAAATGCAAATCTGACCATATCATTGCTCTATGAGCAACACTTAGATGACTCCCTATGTTTCTTGGGGTAAAGAACAAAAACTCTCATATCTTGGCCTATAATGTCCTGCATGGAATGGCCCCTGCTGCCCTCTCCAGCTTCTCTCACCGTGCTCTCCCTGCTTTCTCACTCTCCTTACTCCACGTTTCTTTCATTTCTTGAATGCACCAGGCCCCTTGCCCCCAGCAGATAGCCTTAGCCAGTGCTCTTTCCTCTGCTGCTTCCATATAGCCCTCTCATGCTCTCTTTGCCTAGTTATACCCTGTCCTCCCTTGAAACTCACTCTACTAGCTGCTTCCTCCTGGAAGTGATTCACTTCCCTATTATGCACTTTCCAAGTGGCATACACCTCTCTGTTCTCATCCTTAACAGAGTTGAAAGCTTACTATTACTGATTGTTGGTTCATTAATCCTGTCCCCTGAGCACCACCCCCACTAATTGTAGGCTCTTTGAGGGCAGGAACTGTGCCTGTTTGCTCACCACTGTATCACCAAGTGCCTGGCATCTCGTGGGTGCTTGTGACTATTTATTGAAGGAATGAAGTGTGAATCTCATTAGATCAAGCTAATAACAGTGTTCCTACGGTAATAAGATCCTCTTCAGAGCTCCTTTGCTTTTGTACCCCAGTCTCTAGAATGAGATCTCATAGCAGGCGTTAAGTAAATTCAGCTATACCAATGAGTGAATGCTCCCGAGCCAACACTTCCTCCAAATCTGAGTAAAAAGCCTCTGGCACTATTGAGGAAATTATGGTCTCAGGTGTTCAGCTTACTTTATGCTTGGTGTGCAGTGGACTCACCATATCTCAGAAATCATGTCTCCAGACTGGGAAATGGGGGCCATGTGGGCCACTACTGGAAACCAGCTTCTTCTCTGGAATGTGAGATCAGCTCTGCTGAAGAGGTGGTTGGCTCACTCCTCCAGGACCTCTCTGGGCTGTAGATAAGCAGAGCTTGCTCGGACAGCTCTGAGATTGGATGAGCTGGTCTTTCTTTTAGCTGGCGAGGGGAACTGAATAAAATCCCTCGTCCGTAAGTCCTTCCAGGAGAAGGAGCTCTGATCCCCTAGACAGCATAGTTGGCACACAGCACATGGATGCTCGGTAACAAATGAATTAATGAATAAACGAAGCAAAATCTGTGGTTTGCTCACCTTTATATAACTTAATAATCATCTGTTAACCAACAATCACAAGGAGGGAGGCCTATGCTAATAATTGGCATTAGAGAAATGCGTAGGATACACTTCTTGTTCTTGAAGACTTGCCTTCTCACTCAGGAGACTTGGCTAAGTGAACCCAGCTTGTCTAAGTTACAAGAGAGTTTCAGGAAAGTGCTCTGATAGAGGAGGCACTTGACACTCTTAAACAAGAAGAGGGGATGCATCATTGTGCTGGAGGGCTGTTCTTAAACATCAGTGAGTTTGGGAAATGAGAATCATGGCTTATGGTTTTAGCATCCCTTCAAATAAGCTGAGTTCTGTGAACACATGGCTGAAAAAAGAGAAACTCAGTTTGGTTCTATGAGAACAAATGTGTGTGGGCAGAGATGTCATCCCTTCAGCTAAACATTGAACAACCACAAGCATTAAAGGAACACGTATTAAGAGCCAGGCTCTGTGCTAACATGCTGAAACAAAGAGAAAGGAAGCATAATCTCACCCCTAAGGAACCTGCAGACCACTGAAGGAGACAAATGGGGAAACAAATAACTAATAATATCAGTACATCGAGGTATGTACCAAGTGTTACAGAGTCTTATCGGAATTTAGAGAAGAGAGAGCAGCTCTCCCGGAGGCACAGGCAACCAGAGAAGATGTGATCTCTGATGAAGTATGAGCTGGTGCTGATGTGGTAGAAAAGTAAGGATGAGTTAGGAAAAGGTTCTTTGGATTTAAGCTGTCTCACATAAACATGGCACTACTGGGAATATGAAGAGCAGCAGGAAGAAATTCACTTAGGGTGCTAGTGACCCCTGGACCATTCTCCAGAAGTGTTCACATAGGTGTCTGGAGTGAGAAGTCCCCTTTGATCCCTGGTACCTTGCATGAAGAGGTAGAGCATAGGCATTCTTGGGCTGCTTACTTTTGCTGTGGCGTTAGCGAGCTCCTTGTTTGGGGGGAGGAGGATTGAGGGACTAGAGGGCTCGAAAGTTGAATCTGTGGTTTCTGATTACGGAGGCCTAGACTTAGAAAACCTGTGGAATCCAGACCTTGACCTTTGTCAGCCACGTGACTGTTAGCAACTTCCCTTGGCTTTCTCATCTATCAAATGGGAGAATCAGTATCTACTTTTTGGAATGTTTGTGAGGACTGACCAAGCTGGATCCATGAAGTGGCCCAGCACGGGGCTGAGGGTGTCCTAAGTGCCCAGTTCCCTGCCTTCCTCTACCTGGAACTGAGTCAGTGAGTTAGTTCCCAGCAGAGCACGCAGCATCAGCATTAAATTCTAAAAATGGAGTTAGTCATATATAAGTGTCTTCTGAACCCAAGGCAATTCCTTTAATACAGTAAATTTCTACCCCATTATATGTTTCATATAAGGCATGAAACAAAAACTTTTTGTTTTTATCTTTTAAAATCCAGTGATTTTAATTGTGTTAACATAAACATGTTGTTTTCACTATTTACCTGAAAGAATAAAGCAGGGTTTGGAATAATTCCATGAACCCAAGAATCAAGCTGTAGTTCCATGGTTTGATCCTAGAGACAAAGCAATGTGAGGGATAAAGCCTTCCAGTTCATCTCACTGCAGGATAAGGATGCCCCAACACAGCAGTTGTGTAATCTTGGGTACCTCACTTTCTCTGCACCTCAATTTCTTCATCTGCCACAGCCCCACAAGGGATTAATTCTCAAAAGGATTAACTGGGACAATGTGTATAATGCCCTTAGCACAGTGCCTGGCACATAGTTAGCACTCAATAAATAGAAACCGTTGCCATTACGATTATTGTCTCACACCGTGTGAGCCTTTTCAACATCTTTCTCCTTCTCCTTTCCCCTCCAAGGTGCCTCCACCCAGAATTCTAACACCGTGGAGCCAGAGAAGCAGGTAGACAACACTGTGAAGATGGCCGGCGTGATCGCTGGTCTCCTCATGTTCATCATCATTCTCCTGGGCGTGATGCTCACCATCAAAAGGAGGTGAGTCTCTGTTGCCGCCCTGCAGACTCCGCCAACCCCAGTTGGGCCCAACGCTGGTGTGTGGCCAAGTCCTTGCTCTGTTGATCACTTCCAAGCAGAGACCTCCGGATGTGATTGTGGAGGTCCTGAAATACAAGGGTCAATTGTGGCTCATTGTGTTGATGTCTGAAGGCTGTGTACTGCCTGCGTGGTGAGTGGCCCTGAGATGGCGAGGTTCTTATGGGGCCAGTGATCCGTATGGTTGGGTCACCTTGATGTTCCATAGGATCCCATGTATCATGAGTCTTCTCAGAGTTAGCTGCTCTGTTGTGATTGGTCATGTCATCAAGATTACTGGGGAGCCCCAAGAACACAGATGAGCCCAGAAATATAGATGCAGCAAAGTAATGCTTCACCCTTCTCACCTCCATTTATCCTTGATTTCCCTTTGGTCAAGCAGCAGCATCCCAGGCTGCCCCCTGCATGACAGGGATAAAGCCTCCAATGCTGTGATAGTCCCTAGGGAAGGCTCCTTCCTACTCCACATCCCACAAAACCTTCCCAGCTGGATTATTGCTGCTTGTTACCTCTCCACAGGATGTCTCCCTGGGCACCTCTGGTCAACTAACACAGTTTCCTCATATTGCATGTGTTTCCTCTAGACTGCATTGCTCTTGAAAGCCAGGGTGCAGATTCCTTCCTTATCCCCAAGATTCCCTACACTGCCATCTTCTGTTTATCAGGCATTCACGAGGCTTAAGGATAACACAAGGGAATTGCAGAGAGGGAAAGGAAATATTCATCTAGGAAAGCTGATGAATATCGGCTATCGCTGACCCTAGGTTATTCCTCTAAACGGAAAGTCCTACTGCCTACCTCTCCTTAGCTCCTGGGCTGCCACCATGTTTCCATGCCTGCTGCCCACCTCCATGTCTTCTCAATTTCAATGCCAGGGCCCCAGTCTTGGTCTCCACCTTCCCACTCCTCAGTCTGCCAGTGCAAACAAAACATCTATCCACATTACATTAATATGTGCTGCAACATGCCCTGCCCTCAAGGAAAAGAGCCTAGTGCATTATTAGACCAACTACTCAAGACCTCAGCCTGAAGCTCTGGGTTTAGTTACTCACAGAGTTCAGGACCAGCCCAATAACAAGGACCAGGGACTTGCCTCCAACTGTAGGATGAAAAGTACTCGTGAAATTTGTTCCCTACTAGAACAAAGGGACAGAATGCCTCAAAGACAAATTTCAGCTTCTACCTAGGGAGACACATGAATATAAATGCAGAAAGTTAAAAAAAAAACAAAAAAACACCAAGAAACAATGTCCTCATTTCCAGACATCAGTGAGTCAGAAATACTGAGGTTCCCACTACACAAGCAGTCAGCCTTCTCTTAGCCATTTGGGCACCAGAATGTCTCTGTGTCTCTCATCTCTCTCTTCTGAATCAACCAGTCCTCTCTCTGGCCAGACCTTGTCCTTTCTTGACATCTCTGGTCTAACAGGATCACTCCTTTCCTCAGGCTCTCAGCAGAAAGACTAAAGAGTTAAACTTCTCATCTAGCTACTGATTTTCTGTTTGAAGTGTCTAGGAGGAAAGGAAGGTACTATGTTAACACTGGGAATCAAGAGCCCCCAAGGGGTTAAGGACAGCATTGCGTTGTCATATCATCATTTTCATCCATAAAACAAGACCAAAGTTTATGTCTCAGTGACAACTCAGCTGCTGTTAGATGAAGTGGAACATAAGATTTGATTTCTCTGGGTGCAGTAAGCACATTGCCCATCTAAGATCAAGTTTCTTAGAGTCACAGATAGATCGGAGGCATAGGTGAGTTTGAGACTGCCTACCTGGAAAAAGTAACCAATTTAATAGAATTGCATTCCTCTTTGATAGGCCTGAAATGTTCTCATTCTTTGCCACTGATTTGTAAGTCAGATATGCTCTTCCAATTTTCCTCTTTCTAAAGCCTGGCTTAAGCCACAGCACTATTGTCTGTGAGCTTGCAAAGAAATTTCGCTTCCTTCCCAACAGCTATTTCTAAAATGTGTGACTTTTCAAGAGGGAGGAAAGGGCTTTTTTTTTTCTATTTCCAAGGTGGGAGCAAGTGTAAAGTGAGTCCTTGGTGTGGTTTTAGCCTCTTACGTGTATTTTCATCATCTTTCAACTCTATCAAAATCATCCATCAGACCCAACCAATAGTCATCACATGACCACCATTTCTCCTCAAGAGGCAAAACTCAGTGTTGGGGTGGTGGGGGCGGATTGGGGGGGGGGGTGCTGATCAGTGTTTGCATATACAGTATCTTTTGGAGGAAGTAAGACATTTTGCTGACCTAGTTGATAATGATAATTGAGAGTAATAATTTACAGTTGGGTATAGAGGAAGGAAAGGAGAGAAGAGGAGGGGAGAGGACAAGTGAGGAGAGAAGAGGAGAAAGGGGGAGAAAGAGAGAAATTAAACATAAGCCTGCACTCTTTCCACTAACCTACAATGTCTTCTGATGTCTAGAGATGCCCCCAAAGGGCGGTGAAGGGCTTGGTGAAGTCCTTTACTTCTTCTCACCCCAATCGCATAGATAAATGTGGGGAAAACTTCATTGGTCAGTTGATTCTTTTGCTAACTTACTGCCACAATGTTGTCCACAGCTACCTAAAATGAAGAAGTATTAAAGGAAAAGAAACCCCCAAATAATAGGCAAATCATCACAACTCACGATCCTAGTGTCAGCATCTCTTCAGTGTCCCAGTCAGGACTTAGAGTTAGTTCCTGGATCCAGGAGCTTTCAGAAGTAAAACGCCAGCCACATGCCCCCCAACCCGGGCTTGAGCTGGTTTTTCCCCTAACCTCCATGAGCATGGGTATGGTGGCTCTCTGTCCTCTCTGTTCCTGATGGATTCAACCGGCTCAAAGTCTTCCCCAAAGCTGCGGCCAAATGTTTCTAATACACGTAAGATGTCCCTAGCTTCTCCCCTTGAAGTGTTCTCATCATTAGCCTTAGGGCTTCCTTGTCACTCTCCAAAGACAGTCTTTCTCTTGCTGTTAGGTGTTTTGTTTTGTAATACTGAACTATAAAGCAGGCAGAGAATGGGCTAGAGGTACGGAAGACCAAGGGAAGGGCTTAATGAAAGAAGCTAAATCAGTTTACAGTCAGAAGACTGGGAAGGAAAAGAGAGAGAAGAGACAGAAAAAAATCAACAAAGCCTGAGGGATGTTCTGTTGTTGCTGCTAGGATGTTTTGTAATAGGTGGAGGGGAGCTTGAGAAATGAAAGATTACAGAAAGGGGTATGATATGTTGGTGGGCAATTCAAACAAGATTCCTTTACAGTTCGTAAAAGATGTAAGGTTAGAATTCTTTTTGAAGTACCCTTGGCTGTTTGGACTGGGCTTCTTTGAATGCAGGACCATACAGAATCAGGGCTACATGGAGATACAGAGGATTACATGAGCATTATAAGAAGGGAACCTAGTGCCCCTCCCTGACAGAGTAAAATCAGTGTGGTTTTAGCCAAACTCACTGCAAAATATTCATCCTTATGCTGTCACTAAATAATGGCCCCATCTTTTTCTCCTGGCTCTATTGATCACATCTAGACCTCGGAATGTTCTAGAATGGGTTCCTGCATTCCATTATGTAATAGAACATACTTCCTTTTCATGAGCACCCTGTCAGTCTTGAAATAGAGAGATACTTGCATCACCAACTCTGCATTGCAGTCCTGGTCATCGTCTCTGGTCTCCTCCCTTTAGAATTGCTGGACATCCTCTCCCAAAGGAATGGGCAGTCAAGGGATTGCTAAGCCACCCCTGTGTCCCTTGGCTTAATACTCTTGGGCACTTGGTGCCTGCAGTGCAAACTAAGGTGGGGAGCTCATGCCTTAGTGCCTTAACCAGTGTATCCTGATGTTTGACAGTGTTTATTGACCACTCACATGTGAGAAGTTCTGCAGTTTCATGTTTTTTTGTGGGATGTGGACATATGTGCATATGCCCACAAGCTTCATATAGTCCAATTTATCCCATAGGACACACTTCTGGGAGTCTGAGCATGGTCTTTCAAGGCTTAAGGCGTAGCCGTGCACTTGTGCATGGGGAAACACTGGAGCCAGGTTAAGCAGGATCCTTTGGTAGATCTGCAGCCCAAGAGTTGTCTGGATCTTAGATTAATCTCTTCTTCCTTCTTACTTTTCAAGTGAGAACTTGGCAACTTTTAGGGAGATATTTTCAAAGTTAGTTACTATGCATGGTTCCAGCCACCCCCATCTCCTCTCCTCCTCCCTCTCTGCCCAGGTCTTCCTGGTCCAGCTTGAACTTTCTGCCAACCAGGCCTTGTCTGTCCAAATAGTAACTTTTCCAAGAATGTATTTGGAGTGTCTTGAGTTAGAGATATGAGAATCTACTTTAAGATTACTCTGCATCTCTGGCTATACTTTGATTCTCTGTGATTTGTGCCTGCCCTCTGGTAGCTCCCAGTCTAATGGGTACAGATGTCTTGTAGCTATGGACTGGGAAGCAGAAACCTCAATCCAAATCTCTATAGCCCCATTTATTTACTGTTAACCTTGAAGAAGCACCTTAACAAAGCTCCGCCTTTGCTTTCTCAACTGTGAGATACAGCCAATCTCCTGGGGCTATTCTGAAGGTCAAATGAGCTAATGGTTGGGACAGGCTTTATTTCCTGTACCTGCCTAAAGGCTTATAATGCACAATGTCTACAGGGACATTCATCTCACATATGACTATCAACTGTACCAAGCTGGCTCCAAACCCATCACTAATATGCTAAAGGCAGTGCTGCAATCAATACGCACACTCTGACCTAACAAATTTGTCCATTTTCTGTTTAAATTGCTGCTGTATTCTTATTTTAATCCTATGAATAATCATAGTAGGGTAGGACTCTTGATGCTACTGTTTTTTTGAGAGAACTCAGGTTCAAAAAGGTTATCTGAGTTGGCTATGGTCTTGGGCAGAGTTGAAATGCAAACCCAGGCTCTGTGACTCCAAACCTTATGC